TCTAAACAATTAATTAGTTTAAACTAATGGACGTGGAACCCTCCATCAACAACTAAAGCACAATAGAAGAATTACAGAAGCATAATAAACAGTATGATAGTAATGATACTATTAAAAGGGTTATTAATATTACCAGTCTATTAATAACAATTATATTAATAGTTACACATTAAATAATCAATATAATAAAGTTTATCTTTTAAAAAAATCATTTTATTGCAGGCTCATACAACTCTTATCACAGTCCACACATACATCAATTGTATAAAACACATTTGCACATTCGTTGCCCTCATCATTCTCAAAAAATTTGCTCTCCATGTAAGTCCCTGGCATCAGCTCCTAATTCCCCCCCCTCCCTCCCTACTCCCCCCTCCCTCATGAACCCTTGATAATTAATATAAATTATTATTTTGTCATATCTTCCACTGCCCAACGTCTCTCTTCACTCACTTTTCTGTTGTCCATCCCCCAGGGAGGAGGTTATATATACATCCTTGTAATCGGTTCCCCCTCTCTACCTCATTCTCCCGATATCGCCACTCTCACCACTGGTCCTGAAGGGATCATCATTCTGGATTCCCTGTGTTTCCAGTTCCTATCTGTACTGGTGTACATGCTCTGGTCTAGCCAGATTTGTAAGGTAGAACTGGGATCATGATAGTGGGGGGAGGAGCATTTAGGAACTAGAGGAAAATTGTATGTTTCATCGTTGCCACACTGCACCCTGACTGGCTCGTCTCCTCCAGTTGCGTACAGATGGGCTTTGGGTCCCTACTCCACATTCCCCCTTATTCACAATGATATGATTTTTTTATTCTTTAATGCCTGATACCTCATCCCTTCAACACCTCGTGATCACACAGGCTGGTGTGCTTCTTCCATGTGGGCTTTGTTGCTTCCGAGTTAGATGGCCACTTGTTTACCTTCAGGCCTTTAAGACCCCAGACGCTATATCTTTTGATAGCTGGGCACCATCAGCTTTCTTTACCGCATTTGCTTATGCACCCAATAAAGTATATCTTAACAAATATCCAATAGTTGATTTTGTCTAGGCATATTCTCTGACCACGGTAAAGTAAGAAAGTCTTATATTAAACAGAAGGTAGGAAATCTAGAAAAAGTACCAAAAAATCATGAAAAGACTAAAAGGAGGGTACTATTAATTAGAAAATAAAGACAAACTAGAAAAGGTCAATGAAAAGAAAAAACTCTTAGAAGACTGGTGAAGAAAGTAAGAAGCATTAGAAGTAAGCAAAATAAACAAAAGAGATTGTAAAATCCAAGCAAATATTTTGATAATTTAGCCAATAAATGTTGAAAACGTAACGCAAAACAGAGAATTTCCCAGAAAAATTGAATTGGCCAAAACTGGCTCAAGAAGACAAAGAAAACAAACTGAACAGGAAATAGAGAAGGAAGGGGGAGGACAACTTCTACGTCTGTAACTCACTGACTGAAACCACATCAAGTGGATGCCGACTCCTATGTGAGGTCTACTGACTCAGCAGTGCAAAATGATGAGAAGAGTGGGTTGGATGCTGTTATAGTTTTGTTTCTCATTTTTAATTGTACTTTGTTTGTGGGGAGGGTTTGGTGGTAGTTATAAAATTCTCTGCAAGTGTCACAAGGCTCTTTGGCTCTACCAATTAAGTGCTGGGAAGTACCCCAACTCCACCAGTGAGCCTCAGCCGAAGGCACTGAGCTCTCTCACTCCATAATGGGTCAGCAAGTGGAACTCTGCGGACAAGTACCCGAGACTGACACCCTCTCCCTTAGATTTCCAAGGGCCAGTGAGAGTCCCTGGACATGGCCAGAACCGTGATGCCTTGCACGCACAGCCCCCTCTCAGAGCACACCGGTTCCAGGGCACCCTGCCTTTCACAAAGAGAAATGGACTCAGGGGGTTCCTGCTGGCTTCTCTGGGACCAGCCGCATTACTTCACGAGATGCCTTGCAGCACCCATCTCCACCCCCCTAGATTTGTGGGTCTGAACTCAACATTCTTCTGATTGGCTGAGGACCCTAGAGGCCACCGCCTGTACCTTCGTTCGGATGGTCCTTGAGACCAACTGACCCATATTCAGCTGCTGTCCACTTAGAACCCTTCTCCACATGCCCAAGGCTGTTCACCTTGGAGACCTGCCGAACTGGAGGTGCTTTTGAGATAATGTCAGTCTCACTGTCAAGTAGATAGGTAGATTTAATGCTCCAGAGCTCAGGAGAGATCTGGGTTGGAGATACATACTTGTGCGTTACCTGCATTTAAACCATAATTACAGCTGCAGGTGTGGCTGAAATAAGCTAGGGCTCTAGAGCCTTGATTCTCAAAGTGTGGTCTTGGACAAGCAACCTCAGCATCACCTGGGCACTTGACAGACATGTCAATTCCCTACTGGGGAGTACATCCACTGACACTGAGTCCAGACCTGCCCCCTTCGAGTTCCCAAGGCTTCATGGAAGCAGGCTGCCCCATCTTTCCCCTAGAGAGGATCTGATGGGTTCAGCCACCAGCCTCTGTGCTCACAGCAGAGCACTCTACCGCTATGCCACCAGGGCTCCTGCCCCCTGGGAGTGGGGCCCGGCAACCTGTGTGGTAACCTCTGTGGTAACAAACCCTTCAGGGAGTCTGATGCAGGCTTCAATTCGAGAGCCGCTGATACAGAGAGAGATGTCCAGGGGGGTTGGGCCTTGACTCAAGAACTCCAATGTTTAAGAGAAGGGGATGAATGTGCCTGCAAGGATGACCAAGAACTGCAGCACAAGAGGAGGACGGGGCTTAGGAGAACACTTAGAGAGAAGAGCTTCCTGAGGTAGAGAGCTGAATGCTACTGAAAGAGCTCTTGTGAGCGCTCCAGGGGAGCTAGAGTATGCTGCGATGAGGAAAGGCATTAATAGAGGCGTGTGGCACATAGAGACCCTTCTGAGCAGTTTGATTACGATGGGGAGAAAGAGGAGGTGGCACTGGAAGCCACAACAAGGGCACTAGTGAGAACAAGGAAGGGTCTGGGTGAGAGGAGGCCCTGAGTGACTAGACAATGCCAGAGACTAGACAATGGCCTACTTGGGGGCAATGAAGCCGTCTGCCTCAGCAGGAGGAGCATTTCATTACTGGTGGTGTTCCAGAATTGCCACACATGGTGGTAATAAAAAGCAGCTCAAACTCTAGTTGGCTTTATAATTACTTCTTAATTTTCTATAGACTACGTACCCCTTTGCTCACTGCCCCCATGGCAGACTGCTCCCATCGCCCTGCCTGATAGCAGCGAAGGGCACAGTTGAGATTTCTAAACAGGCAGGAGGGGATGGACCTGAAGCCCAGGTGGAGGGACTGTCCTTTATAACCAAAAGGAAGGGCGTAAACAAGATGGACACCGATGTGGCAGGCCTGATCTTTGATAAATGGTCACTGTGTTCCCCGGGAGGTCACCTGCAGGCTCGTCCCTATTGTGAGAGGGACAGACCACATCCTTTGGACCCTTTTGAATTAAACACCTGATTCGTTAAATCCGCAGTCAATAAACAACTTTGGGGTTGGATTCAACGACAGTGGTTTGGGTTTCTGGTTTGACTGATGATTTTGCTCCCCAGGGAGGAGGTCTGCCTGCTGGTGATAGAGATGTGCCGCCCATACAAACTTGAGCACACCTTAGGGAGTTCTTAGAGTAAAATAATAACTGGTTTTTGAACACGACTGAATTTCGATGTGGCTGACAACAGATTAAAAAAACAACAGATCGTTGTCTATTTTAATAGTTCTATTTCATCCTAAGTTATTTATTCTCTCAAGTCCTGATGACTTCTACACAAAGCAACTAAAGTCCATCTCTGGGATTTCAGAGGCACGGGCCAAAGCCATGGATAAGCAGCCAATCATTGTCCCCTATTCCCCTGGCCCCCAGACTGCAATGCTGTGCTCAGCAAATGCTGACTTCACAAGCTGCCACTGGTCCGGTCTCTCTCTCTCTCTCTCTCTCAGTTCATTTCTACATCCATCTCCTTCACTAAGATATCTCAATTGGCTATCATTGGATTAACCCACTAGCTTTTGCAAGGAGGGATTTCCAAGAAGAAGAATGTAGGAAATTAACCAAGATGTTCAGTGAAGTATACTGGTTTTATCAGCATCATTCATCGATCCGATTATTCACTCAACAAACATTTACAGACCAGATGCTATTCAGCAACGCTTGATATCAGATTAGTGGGCCACAGAAAGTCCTCTCAGCAGTCAGCATCCAGTAAAACAAGCAATTGGTTCCACAAAAGACAGGCTTATGGAAGCTGACTTTGATGACAGGAGGGAAAGAATTCCTTAGAATAAAGGAGATTAAAGGAGAAATAGGCTACCAAAAAAAACTCTAGGAGCAGAATCATGTTAAAGATGTGGCGACTGCGCCCTAGTTTTGCGTACAGGTAAAGGTAACCGCCACCTCTTTGGAATCAAGAACAAAGCGATAGAGGACTTGCTGATGCACTAGAGGAGGGCCAGACTCCCTCCACAGAGAGGTGGTTAAGTCTGCCCGTGAATTAATGTAAGCATGTGTTTAGGGCTCTTACAATCAAAAGCCTCAAGCACACCAAGACTGGGCTGCCCAGTGATACGGAACCAATCCTTTCTCATCTTTGCCTGCCTTGCTCCTCCCACCACAGCCTGTGCTTGGGCATCACGACCCATAGCCTGGCCACTGTCCAGGAAGCTCTGCACAGAGTCAGGCCCGCACACCCTCCTCAGGCCCTGAGGACATGATATGATGACCTGGGGTGTTTTAAAAGTGCCTGTCGGCAAACTTATGGCAGCAGCATACAGCAGATGGACAACAGAGATCCGCTTCCTCCTTCCTGTCCTTCCCTTTTTCTCTCCCCGGGTGAGGAAGGGAGGGAAAAACAGGAACCAACAAAAGGAAGATCTCTTGTAAGACAGCATCTTTCTGGTGTTTAAAAAAAAAAACAGACAAAAAAACAACTGAATAAGTTAAAAACATTTCTCATTGGCCTACCTTGTGTCTGTGGGATGTAAGGAGACAGGAGCTTTGACCTTTTCTTTTCATATCCTTTCTGGGTGATGTCCCCTGAAATCGCAAAGGAAACAGAAATAGGCTATGCATTATTCGTACTCTGTAGTCGTCCACTGTAAAAATAAAATTAATTACAGAGTGTTATAGGAGTAAAACATAGAAGGGGGATAAAAGTTTGGTTCTTTGCCAAGGATTCCGCTATGTGTGATTTTCCACAGGCTTGGAGCTAGTTGCTTGTGGAAAATTGTTGGGCTTGTCCTTAAACCAACCAATCTAGCACAGCAGTAGACTGCATACCGTGACAGGCACTGCCAAATTCCTAAGCATCCCAAAGAGTTGTTGGTATTTAACCCAAACCAAAGCCAAACCCACTGCTGTCCAGCCAATTCCAACTCAGAAACCCTATAAGGACAGAGTAGAACTGCGCCAAGGGGGTTCTGAATCTTTACAGGAGCAGACTGCCTCTTCTTTCTTGTGAGGGGCAGATGGTAGGCTTGAACTACCAACTACACAATTAGCTGTCATATGCTTAACGCAAGATACCACCAGATCTCTGATGATGGTGTTTAAGAAATCCTAAAAGGGGATGCGGCCAAGCTGGCATACGATTTTTCTCCAGTTTGATTTCATTAGTACAAGTGATTTGCAGGTTCAATTACAAGGAGAGTGAGGAAAGACAGGATGGGAGAGGCACTTCAAAAGTTCAAGGGAAAATTCCATTATGTTGTCATTCCATTTTTCCATGGATTTGTTTAAGTCTCCTTGTATTGTATTGCTATATATAAAAAAATTGCTGTCATGTTGATTCTAGCTCAGAAAGGCCCTAGAAGCACATAAAACTGAAGGTTTAGTTTAAAAGAGAAACTGATGCTTGAGCATTGGGATGAAATATTTTAAAGGTCCTTTTGGACGAAGAGTCCACATGAATCACAGCCTCCTCTACCCTGAGACCAGAAGAACTAGATGGTGCCTAACTGCTATCAATAAGCCCTCACAACAGCAGATGCCACTGTTGTCAGGTCTAGAGGGTGTCCACCACAGCATTAGAATGACAAACTTCAAAGACAAACAGAGAGCCAACTTACAGGTGGAACAAGACTTAGAAGAACCCCTGAGGTGATCGCCCTAAGAAACATTCTTTCTTGAAACTGAAGACACCCCCAAGGCCACCTCCCAGCCAACTACTCTGCAAATCCCCACTGCCATTGAGTCCACTCTGACCCCTAGTGGCCCTACATAGGGTTTCCAAGGTAACAAATCTGAATGGGACAGAGTCTCTCATCTTTCTTCCAAGGAGCGGTCAGTGGGGTTGAACTGCTGACCACGTGGTTGGTAGTCTAATGCTATACAGGATCCTCCAGCCAACTGACAGATGGGACTATAAAACAAACACAAGTGAAGCATGTGCTCCTCAGAATGGCCAACTATAGTAACCAAAAGAGAAACAGCTGCCTAAAACCCAACATGAGAAGGCAGGGAGGGGCAGGGAGAGCAGGCAAATGAAATCAGGGAACCCTGATGAGGTTGTGGGAAGACTAGAATCCCATCGACTGCTGGTGGGATTATAAATGAGTACAAACATTATGGAAAACAGTATGACACTAAAAAGACCAGGCTCACTGGTTGGATAGGAACTAGTGGAACCCCGGAAATGATGGCCCTTAGTCACTCTGCAGGTCTGGAACCAAACTCACCCCATGGCTCAATTTTCAGCCAAACAACAGCCAAGACTATGAGGGAAACGATAACATTAGGAAGGTATGCACACCTTAGAAAAATCAACCATTTGAGAGAGAAAGGGAAGCATTCACCCAAGGATCAAATTCAGAAGGGCCGGGAAAGGAGGAGGAATGGAAACTGGAACACTGAGGAGATAAGGGATGTTCACTCTGGGGCTTCCTACCAATGACATGGAAATGTGTACGGGCTGTTGACTAAAAAGCAGATTTGCTCTGCAGACTGACTCAATCCACAATTAAAAGTTGTTTTTGTTTTTAAAGAAAAAAACAAAACCAGCATGGTGCTTTCTCATAAAGTACAAAACAAGCAACAGCTAGAAATATTTGATCCACCAACACCACTCCCAAATATACACCTCAAAGACCTAACATTAGGGCTACAAATACACATGCATGCCTACCTCCACTGCAATACTATCCACAGTAGTAAAGAGATGGGACTCAGCTAAGTGCCCATCATTGAACACACGGTTAAGCAATACGAAGTACATAAATACAAGAGTACTTCACAGGTATAAAAATAACGAGGGGGCTGGGAAACATAATATTGATGAATCTGGAAGGCACTATGCTTGAGTCAGTCACAAAGGGGCAAATACTATCTGATGCTATACTTTAATAAAAATACAGAACTAGGTATTAGTACAGAAATCACTGTGCTGCAGTGGTTACCAGGGATGGGAGGGAGAATAGTATTTTTGTTTACTGAAGAGTTCAATTAGTTATCGCAATGTTGTTTTACTCACCCTTGTAAACCAAACAGTACTATGGAGTCAATTCATGGCTGCCCTATAGGACAGGGTAGAATGGCTCCTGTGGGTTACTGAGATGGTAACTCTCTACGAGAGTAGAAAGCCTCATCTTTCTCCCATGGGGCTGGCAGGGGGTTTCGAAAGGCTTACCCAGCAGTTAGTAGCCCAATGTGTAATCACTACACACCACCAGGGCTCCTCACACAGATGCACCTACACACATACACATATCTTCCTCTAACATATGAGCTGCAGGTGAGTATTCATATGTGCACCTACTCCTTACTTACCATCACTTTTCACATTTACAACCATAGAAGTACATCTACTATGCAGCTATTTTGCACATTACATTAATGATGTATGTCTGGCATTAACAAATGTCGAGGTGCAACCATCTAGCTCTGATGGTTAAAGCCATGTCAAATGGAAGGGTTTGGCAGTTACGCACAGGTAAATTTTGGCAGTTATATAACAATACATTCATCTTCCATTTTCACTTATGTCGCTTTTCACAAAATAACCTTGTTTGTGGAACTGAACCAAGTGGATAAAGGAGTGGGTATATCATCAGCAAAGGGGGCTGGGTGAAAGATACCTCCTAGATTAGTGGTTCTCAACCTTCCTAAGGCCGTGACCCTTTAATACAGTTCCTCGTTTTGTGGTGACCCCCCAACCATAACATTATTTTTGTTGCTACAGGTTGAGAACCGCTGTCCTAGACCTATCCCAACACTTCGTAGGTTAGCTTACTGGGTTTCGAGGCCCACGATCGATTGGCACACCAGTCCATGAGTGTATATTCTACACCCTAGTTTGGTGGCCTGTGTCTGGAGTCTTAAAAGCTTGTGAGCTGCCATCTGAGATACAAACTACTGGTCTCTACACCTTTGAGACAAAAGAGAAAGGAGGAAACCAAAGATGCAAAGAAAAAAGGCCGTCTAGAGGACTGACGACTGGCCTACATGAATCAGAGTTCACCCGTCCGAAGACCCGAAAAACTGGATAGTACTTGGTTACCGCTAACACCACCAACCATTCCGACTAGGAACATGACAGAGGGCTCCCCATGGAATGAGAGAAGAATATAAGACAGAACTGAGGCCACTACAGCCCTTTCAACTTGGTCCTGAAACTGCTCCAGAGGTCATCTTTCGACCTCATGGACTGACTCGTAAAATAAGCCATGTCCCCCAACAGTGCTGTTCCCCTTATTAAAATAAAAAAGGCATCTCTGTGAAGGCAAATGGTCAACATTTCCCCGAAAGCAAAGATAAGCAGCTACAGGGAGGGAAGTTAGGCTAATGGAAACTGAACCCGAAAAATACAATCAGTGAGCAATATGCACAGAAATTGTTTAATGGAAACCTATTTTCTGTGTTAAGTGCTCACCAAACAAACACACACAAGAATGAAGGGCTCCCTGAACTACATAACTATCCTCTAGTTCTTTAATATTTTCTCCCCTTACTATTATGGTTTTTATTTTACCTCATTAATCTTGTTAAATTTGCATGTGTTCATTTGTATAATTAAGACGGTTCCATACATGAAAGCCAAGATAGATAACCCTTCAGAAACCGTAAAGGGAGTAATGGTTCCCTAAGGGTATGGGAAGGGGGTGGGGTAAGCAGCTGGTAGCACTGAGACTGTATAACCCCATTCCAGGGACACAAATAACAGAACTGTAAGTAGATGGATATATGGGATGGTGTAAGATGCAGCAAAAACTACATATATAAAGGGTTCCTGGGGATGGGGTGGGGAGGGAAGGGATACAGGGGAGCTGATATCAAAGAGTTCAAGAAGAAAGAAAATGTTTTGAAACTGGTAGTGGTAGCAATTGTACAACACTGCTTGATGTGATTGAACTATGGAATGTTATATCTGTAAGAGCTTGCAATAAAATGATTAATAAAATAAATTAAATTAAACAAAGCCTCTAAAACTCCAAAAGAAAAAGAAGGAATGAAGGGCTCTTAGATGTAGATATGCTAAAATAATAAAATGGTCACAAGATGACAGGCTTTTTTAAAAAGCAATATACTAACCGTTTCCACAGCATGACTCAATTTGAGGCATAACAATATTTTTATGTACACATATGGACACACAGAAAAATCTGAATATTTATCTACATGTTAGCAGTGGTCAGCTATGGCTTAGGAGATCATGGATTTTTACTTTTTAGCCCTGACCCATTTTGTTTGCTTTTATTTTCTCTAACTTTTCTACCATGAAGATACAATAAGCATTTCATGCTTTCGATCACGGCTACTTACTTGACTACACAAACAAATTCAATCATACTTGGCTCCCCGTCTCAAGTTCTCTATGAATACAGAAACCTGCAGCGCAGTTTCTGAAATTAAAACACAACCCTTTTGCAAATTAGGCAACTCAAGAGTCTAGGTAATCTCGAACAATGAATACAATTAGAGAGCAGGCAAGCAGGGAAGTCTATGTTGACAACAGGAAATCTCGTCTTCTATTACAAAAGAAATAATGGGGCATTCTCCAGTTCCAGTCCCCACTCACCAGGTCCCCAAGCTCTACCGCACACACAATCCACCCACAAAGACCACTACGGCTGGCTCGGAACCCGGCCGATAGAGCGAAAGGCTTTTAAACGCTTTCGGGCCGTCTCAATTACTCACTGTCAGTGAATGATCGTGGGACAAACTGTTGGGCTTGGTATCCTGGACATTAATCAGCTACTAACCATCTCGGGCTGTGAAAGAGGTCAATCAAGAGAGTCTAATTCAGCCCTGCAATTAGCACAGACCCATAAATGATCAAAGCGGGCGAGGAGACCTAGGGGAAGCTGAGCTGCGGTGAGACCGTGGGGACCTGGGCTGAAGGAAGAGCCACACCGACACTTCACAGGGCCCTCCCCCGTTCTCTCCAATGAGAACGGACCCTGTGCACAAGTCGCCCTCCTCTGAGCGGTCTTCCCTGTCCTTCCTCCTACCGCTCTGCACACACGTCGAAGACGGCACTTAGCACACCACTGGTGTCTTAATGATTTGTTTATACATCTGTCTCCCTTCTCGACTGTGCACTTGAGGGCAGGGATTACATTTTGTTCCTCTCTGCTACTCGCCCACAGCCTGGCACAATAGATACTTGTTGAATGGGTGACTGAATGAATGAGCAAAACGGAGGCAGAGCGAGAACACTCAATCAAGAAGACATGTGTACTTGGGTGGAAAAACTGGTAATGAGCGGTTCTTTACTGCAGCAGGAGCTGGCAGGACGGGGAGAGAAATGTGGTGAAGTTTACAGAAACCTGTCCACTAGACCTCACAGGTGGCTGGAAAAGCAACCCCTGGGTGTGCTTGGAGAGGAAGACGAAGTATATTCATCACTGGGCACTCCAAGCCACGGGGCTGCCACCACTGGCCCAGACGCATCCCGCCTGAGAGCACGGCCAGGCAGAAGGAATTTAGGAAGGCTGGTGTTCCACATCGCGGCAGCTGTCCACTGAAGAGTTAAAACATTCTCACCACCTGTGGGTCAGCCGCCTTCGCTGCACTAAAGTGATGTTGTCCAAACCTGCCCAATATTTAAGAAATCACTTGAGGAACTTGTGAGAATACAATTTCCCAGGCCCTTCCCATGGAGCAAGCATCAGCTTCACTGCGAATGAATTGAGACCAGGCGAACTGTATTTGGGTAAGAGTTGCTGCCTTGGAAACCCACAGGGGCAGTCCCACCCTGCCCGACAGGGTTGCTATGAGTTGCAGTTGGCTCACTGCTAGGTTGGCATCGACTCGATGGCAGTGAGTTTGGTTAACGTGTTGATGGTCTGTATTGGGCAGTGAGGGAGTGAAGCAGCTTCGGATGCGTGACTTAAAACCTAGGACCAGGGTGGGGACTACTAGCACCTGTCCCTGGCATGTGGCTGGTCTGGGGTGAGGAAGGTACCAGATATAGGGTGCCTCAGTTGACTGGCTTTGCTGTCTCCAGGGAGAGCCAGGGACCTGGGGAGGGGCTCAGACACTAAGCCACACCCCAGTCATTCTTCCTCGGGCAGACTTTTTGCCATCTGGCACCTGGTACTAAAAACAGTGTGGTAACTATACCTGTATTAAATTTGCATTCAAGTGGCATATGTTGAAGTTAAACCTGTTGTTCAAGTTTTTTTTTTTTTTGAGCATTAAGCAAATCCAGAGCACTTAGTTGTCCCTTCCCACTACGATACCGTATCTCTCCACTCGTGTGTGCACTCAGAAACATAGCCTCGCCCTGGGGTCTGCAGTGCCTGGTGCGTGCGAAGACGCCTACCCTAGTCTTGGTGAGACAATACCAACCCAAAGCACCACGAGACGAGCCCTGAGTAGGCGAGACGCACGAGACTCGGGACGGTACGCTAGCACCAGCGCTGCCCAATCCCGACCACCCTGTACGGGTGTATGGAGCGAGGAAACCCGAACAGGGTGGAGCAGAGAGGAAATATACACCCGACTCCTCTCCTCCCCACCTGCGGTCAATGGAAGTGGCTTGGCAGAAGTCCTCTTCAAGCTGAATGACAAACAGTGAATCAATGAGTATGAATGGATATCAGCAGCAGGCAAGCCTGCCAGCTCACGGCCTCTTAAAGCCAGAAGGTCAGAGGGAGAGCAGTCCTGCCATGAGTCAGCGGTCAAGTCTCCAGGCAGGAGGCAGTACTGTCCTGTGGCTAAGAATGTACAACCAGTGGAATTAGACAAAGCAGCTTCAACTGCCCAGCCTTACCCATTGCCTGGCCACATGGGGGGCTTAAGAAAACTGGTGAAGAAATGGAACTTGAAGACACTTGCATTTCCCCCCAAACTTTATGAAATCCGCTTAGAGTCAGATGAGTTTTAACTTTGCCTCTCATTGAGTCTTAGTTTCCATGACTGAAGAAAACGGAATGAAGTCTATTTTATAGGGCTGGTATTGTAGTTAGAAGTAGAGTATGAAGTTTGAGATAGAGAAAACATTATCAACAAAAGTTTACTGGAAGCCTACTGTGGGGAGGGAGACAGCTGCAAACACGCGTTACAACCCTCCACGATGGAACTGCCTGAGGGCAGCCCCCTCAGTGGACGCACAGTGAGTGCAGGAGGAAGCGTGGCTATCTCTGCCTGGCTGGGGGAGGTGGGCAGAGGGACACTGCTTTGGGTCTGACCTTTCATACTAAAAACAGAAAGAGGATAGGGACCCCTAATGATACACCCTCATAGTGACTTACTAGTCTTGCTCTCGCTCTCTCTCTCCATGGCCACATTTAGTAGAGTCAGAGAAGTACGGCCACCCTATGTAATGCCTGCAGGTGACTTGGCACAACACCCTAAGCAACTGGGAGCTACACAAACACAGGGTCTGAACATTCTGGAAGGTCAGCAAGTCACACGTGTAGCTTATACCAGAGACCATCTTGACAGAGAACAAGGAGGGCAGCTCCTGCCATATAGACACCCTTTCTGCTCCAGAGGAAATACAGAGATTCGAGCCATGGCAGTCCCGCCTCAAAGTCACACGTAGTCAAGCTGTGGTGCCAGTGGCCGGGGGCACACTGATTGTGCAGGGACACCTTGTGAGTGCCCCTGAATGGCACCGGAGGCTAGCGGAGTTGAACAGCCGAACGAAAGGCCCGGCCTTTTGCTTTCTACCTCAGAACCTTGACGCTGAGGGCTGGTTTTCTCACAGGGGTGACCCTTCTACTTTCCTCTTCTTTCAACGGCTCTCCATCACAGTCTAACTTTTTACAACAATCCGCCAACAATCTGTTTGATTTGCCTAAAACTTTTCCTCAAACAACAGGAAAGGTATTGCTTTCAGGACAGAACAGGAAACTGAGGCATGAAAAGTTAATGTCTTGTTAAGGATACCCAACTAGACCCAGGGTCTGGGCCTTTTTCTTGTCCATTGTTATTTATCTTTGGGGGCCCCGAATCGGAAGCAGTGCTTGGATGTAACTAACCTGCTAGTCACTGCAGAGGCAGGCAGGGTTCCGCCGCTGTTGTACATGGGGTCCCCGTAAGTCAGAACTGACTCGGTGGCACCTGACAACACAGTTCACAACCCCAACATCACAGAATAAACAATGTCTATGACTCACTCTGAAATACAGATGGCTTTCCAGTAGGCACTGCAATTCTTCTCCTTTCCTAACTAGGGCCCTTTGTGAACATCTCGTTTAATCCCTATCATCTTTTCAATGAGAGACCGTCAACAATGGAAAGTATATGCTACTGCTGGTAAAGACAGAGCACGAGGTCTAATGTTAGAGGAGGGTTACGGTTTTAAAAAGGCACTGCTGGTAGGGCCGGTTCCTAAACCCGGAAGCACTGGTCTACCCAACAAAACATGTGCAAACACGTCTCTGTGATCAGAAGATGCCTGGAGACCAGTTCTCTCGATAATGTGCTTGTCTGGATCTCATTAGGATGATGTCATAAAAGGGGGAGGGGTGTCCCAATGCAAACAGTGGCTTTGAGGGGAACTGTGAGCCGGTTCGAGTCAGGGCAGGGAGGCCCTCCTGAAGGCTATGGTGATTGGTTTTGGAATTCCAGAGTCTTTCTCAGAGGCAAAGGCGCTTATTATGAAAAAGTGTTAAGAAAAAGGGACACTATTGGTGAAAAGAAGGCCAAGAGAAATGTCTGTGTGTCCTTGGTGACAATGAACCTGTTCACTCTTGCGGCTGTGCTATGAGAAACCTGACCCCATGTCCCCTCTAGCGCCAACATCTTTTTGTCCCCCCAAACTCAAAGAACATTGAAAAGGAGCACGATTTGGGTCCCCCAAGGAGGCACCAACCACCATTTTGAAGTGGTGTAAGTCAAGCATCCTTCAGGGGATGGCCGCTTCAGACCCAGACGGCACCAGCACAGGCCTTGACGGGGTGCACATCGAGAAACACTAGCTCACATTTTGCTGTTTTTGTTTACTAAAGAGTTCTACGATGTTGAAGCAACCCTTAGAAATCAGTCCTAAATAGTCACCGGATGGGACTGGAGCTTTTCTGTTAAGGAATACAGTGAACCCTCGCCACTTCGCGCTTCGACTTGCGCGGCTTCACTCTATCGCGGTTTTTGCGTAACAGCACATGCTCTGTCATTACTGCCACTGATTGGCTCATACTGTACACGCTTCTGTCTGCATCGCTACGTATCGGAGCTACATATCA